CTTTAATCCTCGATTAGCGTTAATCGACTTTCGAACAAACCGGGCCAAGATGTGTACAGATATTAACAAACACATTGGAGAAAATTCTTCAAGCTAATGTTACATGTACATGCGCTACATATTTACTGCAACAAAACAACTTTCCTGGCAATCAAAGAAAAGCTTTTATAAAGGTATAAAAGTACCAAAGAGGAGAGCATCTTCAGTCATGAGATTTATGCACGCACAAGCGATGTCATACATGTACACTTCTATAGCTGCAGTGGGAAAGAAATTACAAAATTCCGCAATCCACGAAGAAAAACCTACAAAATGTCCAGATGCTGCAAAAGCTTAGCCCAAAATGTGACTAATTAGTGCCTTCGGCTTCAGCAGATACTCAAATCTCGGCCTTGATAATTCTCCTCTTAATTAAATGTGCCGCATCCGTCACAATTTTCTCACCATATTGTGCCGCGTCTGTTCTGCACAGGTTTTCAGTCCCACCACGTCTCTGGGCATGGGATTGCGATAAAATAGTTAACGTTTTCAATTTTTAAGTTTGATTAGCTCCACATTATGGCGCGAAAAAAGTAATGTGACGGATGCCGCCTCGTGCTCTTATACAGTTCTCTCGTGCTCTCACAACTTCCCGTGTGAATCTATGACCAGAAGCTATGACTCGATATACGCACGCTAAGCATAAACCGCAAATGAAAGCGTTGCATAGAATAAAAAAAATATTAAAAGGCACAACACAAGCCGATTTATTCCCAAACGTGAAAATAAAAAGACACTTTATACCAGCTGATTTTGCACATAAAAGTGAACAGTTGAAAAATCAATTATTAGTCGCGTAACATTAATATTTTATTTATTAAAAGAAAATACAGCATTCTTTAATAAACAATATTTAGTCAAATACTGTTTCTTAGCAATTCTGATGCACAGAAGAGCACCAAGAAATTGGTTATTAAGTAGTTTGGTGCATTTAAAGTGATGCGTGCACTGAATGAAAGTAAAAAGACACTTACCCCCTGATTTGTTCCCAGACATCCACATGAAAGAGAACAGTTAAAAATCAATTATTAGTCGCGTAACATTAATATTTATTTATTTTAAGAAATACAGCATTCTTTAATAAACAATATTTAGTCAAATACTGTTTCTTAGCAATTCTGTTGCACAGAAGAGCACCAAGAAATTGGTTATTAAGTATAGTTTGGTGCATTTAAAGTGATGCGTGCACTGCATGAAACAAAAAAGACACTTACAATCTGATTTGTTCCCAGACAACCACATGAAAATGAAAAAATGAAAATCAATCATTAGTCGAGTAACGTACATTAATATTTTATTTATTTTAAGAAATACAGCATTGTTTAATAAACAATATTTAGTCAAATACTGTTTCTTAGCAATTCTGATGCACAGAAGAGCACCAAGAAATTGGTTATTAAGTATAGTTTGGTGCATTTAAAGTGATGCGTGCACTGCATGAAACAAAAAAGACACTTACATACTGATTTGTTCCCAGACAACCACATGAAAATGAAAAAATGAAAATCAATCATTAGTCGAGTAACGTACATTAATATTTTATTTATTTTAAGAAATACAGCATTCTTTAATAAACAATATTTAGTCAAATACTGTTTCTTAGCAATTCTGATGCACAGAAGAGCACCAAGAAATTGGTTATTAAGTATAGTTTGGTGCATTTAAAGTGATGCGTGCACTGCATGAAACAAAAAAGACACTTACAATCTGATTTGTTCCCAGACAACCACATGAAAATGAAAAAATGAAAATCAATCATTAGTCGAGTAACGTACATTAATATTTTATTTATTTTAAGAAATACAGCATTCTTTAATAAACAATATTTAGTCAAATACTGTTTCTTAGCAATTCTGATGCACAGAAGAGCACCAAGAAATTGGTTATTAAGTAGCTTGGTACATTTAAAGTGATGCGTGCACTGAATGAAAGTAAAAAGACACTTACGGCCTGATTTGTTCCCAGACAACCACATGAAAATGAAAAAGATAAAAATCAATTATTAGTCGCATAACATTAATATTTTATTTATTTTAAGAAATACAGCATTCTTTAATAAACAATATTTAGTCAAATACTGTTTCTAGCAATTCTGTTGCACAGAAGAGCACCAAGAAATTGGTTATTAAGTAGTTTGGTGCATTTAAAGTGATGCGTGCACTGAATGAAAGTAAAAAGACACTTACTAGCTGATTTGTTCCCAGACATCCACATGAAAATGAACAGTTGAAAATCAATTATTAGTCGCGTAACATTAATATTAATTTCTATTTATTTTAAGAAATACAGCATTCTTTAATAAACAATATTTAGTCAATTGGTGTTTCTAGCATTTCAAGCAAAGTAGATCGAGTATCAAGAATTTAGTTTGGACCAAATGACAATATTTAGTCAATCACAGTTTCGATTAGTCATGCACAGAAGAGCACCTAGAAAAGCGATGCATGCATCGAATAAAAGTAAAAAGACACTTACGGACTGATTTGTTCCCAAACGTCCACAATGATAGGAAAATATGAAAATCAATTATTAGTTTGCGTAACATTAATATTTTATTTATTTTAAGAAATACAGCATTCTTTATTAAACAATATTTAATCAAATACTGTTTCAAGCAATTCTGATGCACAGAAGAGTACCGCGAAATTGGTTATTAAATAGTTTTGGCTCAAATTAAAGCTGGGTATGCACTGAATAAAAGTAAAAAGACACTTACTAGCTGATTTGTTTCCAAACGTGCACATGAAAATGAAAAGATGAAAATCACTCTTTAGTCGTCATATTAAAATTTTATTCACTCAGTACAAAATACTGCATTTAACAAATAAAGAAGCCAAAACCATGTATTATACTGTCATAAAACACGACGGGAATTTGAGAACACGAGAGAAGTTTAGAAAACACGAGCCGCAGGCGAGTGTTTTCTACATTTCTCAAGTGTTCTCAAATTCCCGGAGTGTTTTATGACAGTGTAATACATGGTTTTGGCTTCTTTATGTACTTTAAAATATAGATTTACGCGCGCGAAACGATGAAACACGCTTTTCTATGTTTTATACTCTGATAAAACATGGTTTTTAACCAATCAGAGCGCGCGCATTTTTCAATCTATGTTTTAATCTTTAATAAACAATATTTAGTAATTGGTGTTTCTAGCATTTCAAGCAAAGTAGAGCATCAAGAAATTGGCTATTGTAAGTAGTTTGGACCAAATGACAATATTTAGTCAATCACAGTTTCTATTAATCATGCAGAGAAGAGTACCAAGAAAAGCGATTCATGCATTAAGAAATGCAGCATTATTTAGTCAAATACTGTTTTCTTAGCAATTCTGATGCAAAGAAGAGCACCAAAAAATTGGTTATTAAGAGTAGTTTGGTGCATTTAAAGTGATGCGTGCACTGAATGAAAGTAAAAAGACACTTACGAGCTGATTTGTTCCCAGACATCCACATGAAAGTGAACAGTTGAAAATCAATTATTAGTCGCGTAACATTAATATTAATTTCTATTTATTTTAAGAAATACAGCATTCTTTAATAAACAATATTTAGTCAATTGGTGTTTCTAGCATTTCAAGGAAAGTAGAGCATCAAGAAATTGGCTGATTTGTAAGTAGTTTGGACCAAATAAACAATATTTAGTCAATCACAGTTTCTATTAATCATGCAGAGAAGAACACCACGAAAAGCGATGCATGCATCGAAGAAAAGTAAAAAGACACTTACCAACTGTATAGTCCCAGACATCCACATGAAAGTGAACAGGTTAAAATCAATTATATTACAATGTAGTTGCGTAACATTAATATTTTATTTATTTTAAGAAATACAACATTCTTTAATAAGCAATATTTAATCAAATACTGTTTTAGCATTTAATGTACAAAATAGCACCAAAACATTGGTTATTAAGTAGTTTGGCTCAAACGAAAGCGATGCATGCACTGAATAAAAAAGTTCAAAGACACTCACCGCCTGAATTGTTCCCAAACGTCCACATAAAACGGAAAAGATGGAAATCAATTATTAGTCGTAATATTGATTAGTTGTATGTAAGAAATACAGGATTCTTTAAAGTGATTCCCTAGTATTACACTGCACATACTTACTGCGAATATTTTTGCGCTTTGAGCGGTGAGCACATTAAAAACATGGCAGGTTTTTCTTTTTGTCTATAGCTCATCACGGTGGCCTTTCGTTTAAATTTTGGGCATATTTACGTCTAGCAATTATTAATCATCCTCTTTCTATATACTTAAACAATTTTTAAAAGGGCTCCGGCAAAAACGTGCTGGCGAAATTCCTTTTGCCTCTGTCTCAAAACGAGTCCAAGTGCGAAAGCTTTCGTATGAAAATGAGTTTGATTTGCATTTGAATGAACTTGCGAGTAAAACTCATTTTTATATGAAAGGTTTCGCACTTGGACTCGTTTTGAAACTGAGGTAAAAGGCAACTCGGAAATGGCTTATATGTTGGTTACTTTTGTTTTCTCAGAAGCAAGTGAATTTTTGCAGGTGGCCTTTAATTTGGTTGAAAAATATTTTTTTCCTTTTTTCTCGCTGGTTTGCGTTTCAATTCCATGGATATGCGCACCGCTTTTCTCTAACAATGGCGGCCGTGTCAGTGTCTTCTATAATTCTTTTTGTAGAAACGGAAACAAAAGAAACCGTTTAAATTCTTTGTTTCTTAAAAAAATTAAAGCAACGAGCCGCTACACTCCATCGGTTATTCGTTTCGGGATTGTAATTTGTTAATTAGATCACTCGACAGAGTTACAAAATGCTTATAAAAGGTATTAAATACAGAAGACACGTAAGATGAAAAGGAAAAACGAGCGAATTACGATTTGGAAATGTTGAGGTGTATTTTAGCGATTAGCACTAAGGAATGAGAAAACAGGGAGTTTAAGCAACGGCAACGAGATCGTTGCCAAACAAAAGGTTTAATGAGCAGTACAGAGACGCGGTGGCCTAATGGTTAGCGCGCTGGACTCCGGACCGAGCGATCCGGGTTCGAGCCGTGGCCGGGGTCCTGTGTTGTGTTCTTGGGCAAGACACTTTACTCTCATAGTGCCTCTGTCCACCCAGGAGCATAAATGGGTACCGGCGACAAAATGCTGGGGGGTAACCTGCGATGGACTATAGCATCCCATCCAGGGGAGTAGCAATACTCCTAGTCGCTTCATGCTACAGAAACCGGCATAAGCTCCGGCAGTTGTGGGCCACTAGGCTCGTCAAGACTGGCTTTACCCTTCCCTACAATAGCTCTGCATGTGCGTTATACGTTTTGGTACATTTCTTAGCCTTCCTGAGCAAATGATTTAAATGTAATTCTGCGTTATCTAGAGAACGTGAACCGCAACGGCTAATTTTTCAAGTTTCTATTTGGAATTGATAGCTGTCTTTACAAATTCAGTTGAGGATAGCTCTGACACCAATAGACAAACTGAATGGGTCTGGATTACCGAGAGATCATCAAGTAAAATATAAATTAGTTTTTTAATCGATGTTGTCCTCGGAGTCGCCGTCGTGGGTGCTTAAACTTCCTAGCGATTTACAGAAGACGCGGTCGCCGTTGTTAGGAGAAAACATCTTTAAAATATCTACAAATAATTTACAATAATAAAACTCCTACCAATGAACCAAGAAATAATTAGCTGTACGTAGGCGGGTTAATAATGCAATAGGGAGTCTTTTTTTTTCAAGAGGCAAATTTCTTATTGCCCACGCTGATAGTGGTTATAATATGGCCTATAAATAGCTTTTAGCATGCCTCAGTCACCTGCCCCGGCTCATTCCTTGGAACAAAGTATTTTCCCCAGGTTCCGTAATAATCATCCATGATGATTGTTTTTCAAGTATAGTTATAGCATATAGAGATATTGACATACCTGCACATGGATTGACAAATAATAAAACTGCTAGGACAACTAGCTGATGCATCTTAACCTTTTCTAAGAAAAAAATAAATAATAATAAATAAAATTAAAAAATAAGAAAACATTAACAGCTGTTAATTGTGTAATAATTATTGTTGTTCAGAGTCTAAGCTAGAAATAGAAAAAGGTGCGCGCGTTTACATAGCCTGACGCAAACGAGAGCCAAGAAAGTTTTACGCAAATCCGAGCCGTATTACATGAGTACTTTCGAATTCTGTTCTCGAGTGTTTGCATCAAGCTTTGTAACCCATTTTTACAAAATAAAGCCAATATTACGTCATAATCGTGTTACATAGCCTCCCGGAAAACGACTACACAACCAATCAGAGCGCGCGTTATATGATGAAAATTTTATAGCAATTGATAGAAAACATTTTCCATGTTTTCACTGATTTATAGAATGACATATATGGAAGTTTTGGAGAATGTGAGATGTTGTGTTGTAAAGCAAAATTGGTGAAGGGGATGAAACTGAATTTTTTTTACAAAGAACCATCTGCTGCAGTAAAAGGAAGCTGTCTTTATTCAGTTTCGCTAAAAGGAAAGCTGTAATATTTCAGCCTTGTATTTATTGAAAACTTTCTTTATACAGCTCGGTATTCTGAGTATACTTTTAATATTGTTATACTTCAGCCTTTCCGTTGAGTTTACTGAGGATGATGCAATTGAGCAACCGCTAAGTATAAAAGAGTACTTTTGTAATTATAATTGGAGTTTATATTGGAAGAGAATAAACTGAGTGTTGAAGTCAACTCCTCCGTGAAGTTCTTGGTTCATTCGAAGTCCAGTTGTCATAGATCCCGGTATCCAGAAACCAATGACGATTTCTATCCTCTCGTAAGCCAGCGAGTTGCTCAGAGTTAATTTTCCCCCGAGTTGAGTTCATTAACCATCAGTTCTCATCAAGAAAGGGCCAGTTTCCATTTCCCGTTCCGAGGAGGAAAAGACTAGTGTCGCATTGGAAAAGATCGTGAAACATCGATAAATCAAGAGAGCATTTGTAATTTATTGCCACAGTTCTTTTCCAGGGAATCTAATGCTCAGTATTCTGATAATTGTGCGGTAGAAGAACAATTTGTTTTGTAGAGAAAAGACGGCCGATTGCATTAATTTTGTATAATCGGTTGTTTTCATCTGACGTCATCAAAATTCTAAAATCCTACTTCTCACATATTTTAGCCATACAAAATATTAATCTCTATGAAAAATTGATGAAAACCACCAATAACTTTATTCAATAGAAAAAAATAAATGTTATCCTCAAATATAACAGAAACCACGCACAAACTTGTTGGGTTTGAAACGTCTGGAACCAAATGTTCTACAATTTAAGCAATAAACTGTCACGTGAAGATTGCTATCAAGAATATATAGTGGCAAAAATTTGTTTCAACATATATGTTGCCTGATAAAGACAAAAGTGATTCAAAATAATACTGCAACATCTTCAATTGTATTTTTTTAATTTTCCTCACAAAATCGGAAAATTGTTAGTCCAATATTAGAGAGCATATAAGCATCAGTGATGTTCTACGGCAAACAGCAAACGTCAGCTTGCCGTTGATTTTGTTTACTTTTTCTCGAACCATGAAATAAATCCATCAGAAAAATGGCAACAAATTCCCAAAACAAACTCGAATCTACTCCCTTCCACGTACAAGCGGCTAACGGCAGACGGCAAAAGTTGATTTTTGCCGTTCGCGGGAAAAAAACAAACGTGATGATTAATCTCTCTGACAAACCGGTGTGAAATTCCGTTCCAAAGATCTCTGAAAATTTAGGAAGACTTTAGTAATACCTAACGTTTTCAAGAAAGATTCTTGAAAGATCGTCAAAAAATTTCCCCAAAAAAATATTCATTATTTTCGAGGATTCCCGAAGGTGTAGTTCAAAACAAATGTTACGGATATTAAACAGTTTAAAACGGGGGCCAGTTAGTTAATTAAAACAAGCCTGCTTGAACTAACTGGTTACAACTCTATACCTAATTTACAAAAACCAGCAAAAAAATATATATACAAAAACCATTCGGTGAATACGTAAATGGGTTCGTATCAGATGCAATCAGAGACAAATGGAGTCGAGGCATCGTGCTAAAAATCGTGTTTCTAACAACGTGCCTCTAGTCCGCTCCAGTCTTACAGCCCCAAGATGCATTTTTCAATGTTGTATTAAAGCGTCTAGCCTATAGTCTTACAGCCTTAAGATGTCCTTTACAATGTTGTATTAAAGCATCTATAGCCTATAGCCTTACAGCCTTAAGATGTCCTTTTCAATGTTGTATTGGGTGTCAATCCATTGTACTGTCTTCCAACATTCAGTATGCTGGCTGTGTTGAAAATATCCGGCTAGTAACTCAACTCTTTTCTCGTTTCATTGATAAGGAGTAATATAATGTCAAAACTGATATATCCTGATTGATCGATTGATTGGTATACTGCACACTTTTCACGGTTATTTGCATAACAATACAGTTAAACAAAGAAGCGAGGCAATTTCGGACACAAGCTGTAAAACATCTTGATTTTTATGAGCTCCTGGAATAACTATATATGTTATTATAAAAACAGTTTTATAACGAAGAAGAACTACATATACAACTCTTTTAATTTTAGATAAAGATCGTAAAACGATCTATCTGTTGCCTATGCGGACCTATACTCTTATATTAACAGCGAAGACTCATTTTACATTTTTACATTTTAAAACTGGTTTTATACTAAAATAAATTACGAAACTCAAGAGAAACGCGATGTTTGCAGCTTGTGCCCGAAATTGCCTCGCTTCAATGTTCGGATGTGTTGTTATGCAAATGTAACAAGATAACCATGAAAAGAGGGCTTTTACTTAAAACTTCCTGTTACGTGTAACATTTGCATAACATTACGTACACCTAAGTTGCCCAATGTTCTTTATATATAAAACAGCCAATACAGTCAACTCTTGATCTCTCTAAGACGGACACCATCGGGACGGACACCAACTGTCCGTCTTAGAGAGGTGTCCGACTTATAGAGAGTTTAGATGCAGTAAAATGACTGAAAAAACGGCGCGCAGGGACCAACACCAATTGACTGTAGTTTTCATAATGTGAAAGTTCTTCCATCATTAAATTTACCAAGATCTGATAGAGATCTAAAAGAAGGCAGGTAACCAAATTTTGTAACATTTTATTGTCAGCTGTCAGGCTATTTTCCATATATTAAAATTCAGCTTGGTAGCGAAGCTGAGAGGACACAAACAAACATGTTTATTCATTTATTTTATGTTTGTGTCCTCTCAGCCTCGTTATCAAGCTGAATTTTAATATATTGAAAGTAACCTAAGCAATAAAATCATATTATATTATAAATATATATATATATTTTAATTTTATTTATATTTGTGTATATTTTTTGGGTGTTTCGTGGAAGCTCCGGGGATGTTACGGTGTGTCCCGGGTGTGTTCTGGGGTACGTGTTCCTGGTTTCACCAAGTCCCGGATAAATGGAGAAATATTCGTTGATCCTATGGGAAGCAAGGGTACCGATTTGAAAGATAAATTTTTGTTGTGAAGTTTTGATGGTGTAATATTCTTATCTAGGTAAGTTGGTGTAAGTAATGTTTGCATATACAAGACCAGGTATAATTATTATAAGTAAAATGGTTTCATGACAAACATGTATTCCAGTTCAAATTCAAGGACAGTCGAGGCATCATCCATTACAATTTCTGTGATTCTGTTAAACTAGCGACTATGATATTTTATTGATCAAAAGTACCCAGAATATAAGAGAAATTGAAAGCCCTTATAGAAGGCTGTCAACTGAACCGTGGACAATTGATTTGGTTCTATTTTTCATCTGTGGATAAAACACTAGTGCTTACTGTATTATACTTTTGTTTGTAGATCATGAAACTCTAGTGCAAGACCCTTCAAATGAAAGCATTAATGTCAGATGTCAGTGTTAATTACAGTTAATTATGCTGTTCAAGGTGGTTCTAATGTTTTTAATTCTGAGGATGAAACCCTACACTAATGTCACTGTGACTATTCAAAATAAAGTTGTGCTGATGTTTATTTCTCAAATGAGCTAACTAACCTATGAGAAGCCACGCATT